CGTGCGGCTGTGTACAATATGTTATCTCAAACTAAAGCTTAAATGCAAGCGCTGCGCTTCCAGAGACCTGAGAGATAAGAGAAACGTCCAATCATCAACAAAAATGTGAATAGAAGAAAAACTGGGATCACCGCAAACGCAGAATGTGATAAATATGATATTTAGGGCTGCAGCTAACTATTATTTTCATAATCGATTAGTTAGCCGATTATTAAGATTGATTAATCGGATAAAAAAAAAAAAGGCTCCAGTGATGGAATAGTTTCTATTGAGATTGTAGTCCATCACGGGAGCAAGCTTGGCGCGGTGGAAGTAAAAAAAGAGTGTAGTGTGCAATATAGTACATTATACAGCGGCGCAATGCAGAATACCAGCAGCTATAGAGGAATGTAGCAATAGTACATTATACTATAATGTACTATTGCTGGGATTTGTAGTCCTCTATAGCTGCTGGTATTCTGACGGCGAATCGGGCAGCTCACCGGGATGAGAGGGCCAGACACATGTCCTCAGCGTGGCGTAAGCGGCGTCGCGTGAGCGGGTATACCGACGTAGGCGTGAGTGGCTTAAACGACGTGGGCGTGGCGTAAGTGGCGTGCAGCGGCGAGCGGGAAACTTGAATTTTAGCCGACGAATCGACGATGGAAAACGTTGACGTTATCCATCGTCGATTTTAATCGACTTAATCGAATAACTGTTGCAGCTCTAATGATATTTCCTGCACAAAAGTACAAAGTTCCGTGGAGATATCAGTGTCCAACCCACTACACAGAATTCCAAAAGATGTCACCAGCACTCCAAGATTAGACACACACACACTTATCAGATTTATCTCATTGTGTTGTGTGTTTTGCTATCGCAGTTTCTTTCACATTATTGTTGGTGATTTTTGGATTTATAGATTTTTGTTGAGTAGTGTAGCGAGGAACTTTGTATTTAGGTTAAGTTAATAATAGTATTAATTAAAGGAGAACTATGGGGTCAGGGCTTTTCCCCATAGTTCTCCTTAGGGTAACGGGAGGACACAAACTAGCGTCCTCCCGTCACCCTAAGCTCAGTATATAGGGAGCTACAGCTCGCGGTATACTGAGACGCCGCAGCCGGAGCGGATCCCGACATTACTGTCTGTATCCACCCAGGTGGATGATTGACAGCTGGCTCTGCCTATCCAGAGGCAGAGCCAGCTGTACCCTCCCCTGTCCGTTCTGCCAGTCAGCGCTGGAGGATCGGAGCGGGGAGCTGGGGAATCCCTGCAGGGAGCCGTGAGTGACAGTCACCACTCTCTGCAGGGATAGATCGAGAAGTGAGCGAGCGGCGGTATTTGTTCGCTCACTTCCCGATCTACTGAGCCGACCTGTGACAGTCTCATTGTCACAGGTCGGCTCCAGCTATGAGGAGGAGTGAAAATCCCCTCATAGTTCTCCAAGTAAATAATAATAGTAATTAAATAACTAATATTAATTAATATTTAAAGGCGGAGTTAAGGTCGGGGCAAGGTAGGGGGTTAGGTGGGGCAACTGGTGCTGAGTAGTTCAGAACCTGAAATTTTGAGCCCTGGTATACTGTATGTACCTACAGTG